TCACACTCTCCTTGTGCGCCTACACGTCACACTCCTTTTCCCCTCTAAACACTCACCTCCTTTGCCCTCACTGTCCACTCGCTTACTTGCCTCACCACTCACACTCACTGTTGCCTCCCTGCTTACACTCCTTTGTGCCGCTCACACTCCACACTCTTTTGCCCTTCACACCAGTTCGCTCGCTCACATCCTTTGCCCTCGACACTCACACTCTTTGCCCATCACACTCACACTCCTTTGCCCTCACACATACTCCTTTGCCCTTCACAGCTCACACCCCTTTGCCCTCACACTCACACTCCTTTGCCCTCACACACACTCCTTTGCCCTCACACACACTCACACTCTTTGCCCTCCACACTTTACACTCCTTTTGCCCTCACACTCACACTCCTTTGCCGCTCACACATACTCCTTTGCCCTCACACACTCACACTTCCTTTGCTCTCACACATACTCCTTTGCCCTCACACTCACACTCCTTTGCCTCACACATACTCTTTGCCCTCACACACTCCTTTTGCCCTCACACATACTCCTTTTGCCCTCACACTCACACTCCTTTCCCTCACACATACTCCTTTGCCCTCACACTTCACACTCCTTTGCCCTCCACAACATACTCCTTTGCCCTCACACTCCTCACACACTCCTTTGCCCTCACACATACTCCTTTGCCCTCACACTCACACTCCTTTGCCCTCACACATACTCCTTTGCCCTCACACTCACATTCCCTTTGCCCTCACACATACTCCTTTGCCCTCACACTCACACCCTCCTTGCCACTCACACATACTCCTTTGCCCTCACACCCACAACTCCCTTTGCCTCACACTACTCTTTGCCCTCACACACACTCCTTGCCTCACACATACTCCTTTGCCCTCACACTCACACTCCTTTGCCCTCACACATACTCCTTTGCCCTCACACACATCCTTTGCCCTCACACATACTCCTTTGCCCTCACACTCACATTCCTTTGCCTCTCAACATACATACTCCTTTGCCCTCACACTCACACTCCCTTTGCCCTCACACACACTCCCTTTGCCTCACACTCACTCCGCCCTCACACATCTCCTTTTCCCTCATCACACACTCTTCTCCTTTGCCTCACACAACTCTCCTTTGCCCTCACACTCACATTTGCCCTCACACACACCCTTTGCCCTCACACTCACACTCCTTTTCCCTCACACTCAAACTTTTGCCCTCCACACATACTCCTTTGCCCTCACACTCACACTCCTTTGCCCTCACACACTCACATCCTTTGCCCTCACACACTCCTTTGCCCTCACACATACTCCTTTGCCCTCACACTCACACTCCTTTGCCCTCACACATACTCCTTTGCCCTCACACTCAACTCCTTTTGCCCTCACACTACTCTCTTTGCCTCACACTCACACTCCTTTGGCCTCACACACACTCCTTTGCCCTCACACACACTCCTTTGCCCTCACACATACTCCTTTGCCCTCACACACACTCCTTTGCCCTCACACATACTCCTTTGCCCTCACACTCCTTTGCCCTCACACATGCCCTCACACATCCTTTGCCCTCACACATACTCCTTTGCCCTCACACACTCCTTTGCCCTCACACATACTCCTTTGCCCTCACACACATTCCTTTGCCCTCACACATACTCCTTTGCCCTCACACACATACTCCTTTGCCCTCACACACATTCCTTTGCCCTCACACACATTCCTTTGCCCTCACACTCCCTATCACACTTAACTTGAACCCTATATCAACCCTTCCTCTTACTTTTATTTCCAAAGCCCCTGAGGATCACCCTGACCTTCACACCCACGCTCAACCTCACTCCCTCTCCGCCCCCCCGCCCCCGCCCCCCCCGCCCCCGCCCCCGCCCACCGCATCACTGTGGTCAAATCCCGAGTTTGGCCGGAACTGCGGTCACTCCCGCCATGACGTAAGACTAGTGCGGTACGAACTGAGCCAAGAAGCAGTGCGGCGAGAACGAACCGTTGGGGGGGGGGGGTTTAAAACTGAATTACTGCAGAAAAGATTAAGTTTGTATTATCAATAGGTAATATGGACTGTCGCTACAGCAAGGCGATGAAGGGTAAAGGGTAAATTTCGTGGTCGTGGTTAGTAGGTGACAATGTGATGATTGGAAAGTGGAAATACATTTCTTAATGCTGGAATAGTCCATGGGTTAAATCAGAAAAGCAAGAAATAATAGTATAAAGAAAACAATGGAGAGAGAGAGAGAGAGAGAGAGAGAAGAGAGAGAGAGAGAGAGAGAGAGAGAGAGAAGAGAGAGAGAGAGAGAGAGAGAGAGAGAGAGAGGGGGGGGGGGAGGAGGGAGAGAGGGAGGGAGGGAGGAGGGAGGGAGGGAGGAGGAAGGAAGGAAGGAAGGAAGGAAGGAAGGAAGGAAGGAAGGAAGGAAGGACGGAAGGAAGGAAGGAAGGAAGGAAGGAAGAGAGAGAGAGGGAGAGGGAAATTGAGTGTGTGTGCG